TACTACGTTGAATTTTGGGAATATAATATAATAGCCTTCTTTTGAAGGAACCTCTTACTTATCTTTCCTTTATTTCTCTCGTGAATCTTTTGCATTATGAGTTTTGGAAAGTTTTTTATAAAAGATTTTAATCATCCAATAGAAGAAAATTACTATTTAAAGATTATATTTATTTTTATACTCTTTTATTTTACTTTTAGTATTCTTTAAGACCTATTGCCAATAGGATTAATATCTAAAAGATAAGTAGATCTGAAAGTTGATTAAATTTTTAATGAGAAAATTAAGAAAATGTTCCATGAAAGAAAATAATATGGATGATAAATCCAAGTTACAATCAAGTTAGCACCTCTAAATTGAACCTGAACATATGCGTTGAAAAAGTCTGCAATATGATAGATTCATATTGAACCTGAACAAATCGAAGTTGTCATGGCATATAACTACTGACAATCTCTTATCAACTTGGGCCAAAATGAACTAATCAATTCAATATGTAGATTTATCCCTTTAAACTTAGCCTATGACCAAGCCCAATAGATTTTGTATAAATACAACCATTCATTCCCCTTTAACCATTCACCTAGGCTGTCAAACATATTCTAAAGTGACAATGGGTTCTAAGTGGTGATTTAGTGATGAAATAAAAAAACTTATGAGAATTAATAAATCTCTTTAAGAAAATGTTTTATAAAAGAAAATAATTTGGATGATAAATCCAAGTTGACAATCAAGTCAACACCTCTAAATTGGATCAAAGCTGTCATCGCATCAAACGAACCACATCTCTTATCAACTTGGGCCACAACTAAATAATGAATATGATAGACTCATTCCTTTAGCCTAGGCCTAAGTCCAAGTCCAATAGGATCTGTATAAATACAATAATTTACTCTCCTTCAACCATTCACCCAGACACATCCTAAAGTGACAGCAGGTTCAGAATGGTGATTCAGCGGCGAGATAAAAATGGTTATTTGTCATTTATTTTAGAAGGAATTGTTATTTACTCTCCTTCAACCATTCACCCAGACATAACTTTACTAGATAAATAGTTATTTGTTTTAGAAGAAAAATGGTGTAGCTAGTATTTAAGGTATAATTTGCTATATCTTCAATTATATTTAGTTTCATTAAAGTTGTATTTATCTTGCATACAATTGTTTTGAAAAATTAAAAAAATTTGATAAGTACCTCCATGTATCCAACGAGTACTGGTATCCGGTATGTACTGAGTATGAGTACTATTGATGAAACGATTACGGGTAGGATGAGTACGATTGATGGAATGAAGTACCCGCGCTTCGCAGACCTAAACGTAATGCTGATTCAAATCAAAGGTGAGACTCCTCAATAATTTCCTTCAAGTAAATGCTAGTTACTCACCAACAAATGCAATCACAACAATCGGCCAATTTTTCCTGGTAAGCTCAATTTTATGTTTTTTTACATGCATTGAAGATGAAAAATCATTTTAATTCATCTTCACCTAAGAGGATGCTGGTACAAATTCTTACAACTATTGATGCTGTTAGATCTCAGCAGCTATGAATCTTAGTCAAATCCTGCCCATTATTTATGTTTTTCTCGGTGTTTGATAACTTTGGTTTGGATCAGTTTTACCTCCATAATTCTCTAGATTTGTATGAATGAATTCCCTAATTGTTGTATAGAATGCACTATTGGTAGACCTGAAGGTTCAATTCCCATTAGAGAGGGGTGAAGTGCCTTTACCATGTTTAAATCCTGAGTGTGGAATAGTCAACATTAATTTGATAATCGAAAGAATGGCTACTGGTAATGGTTTTAATTTACGCCTGCACATCTTGTATCCTTGAATGACCTAGTTAAATAAATTTTTGGAACAGTCATTTATGGAGCTAGCTAGCAAAATTTTCTTGCAAACTTCTCTCAATCTAAAGGGATGATTAGACATAAAAGGATCTTCTTAAGTGCAAGATCAGATCTACTTAACTTTTAGGATTTACTTTCAAGTGTTTTAATTGATTTTTCTTTCCTTCTTTCTTCGTATATTTGTTGATAGTTAAAAGATTATTCACTTTTGAGGTAGAAAGTGCAGCAATGGATATAATTTCTTCTAACAATGTATATATTTTCTGCATATACACATGTAAAGCTAATCGAACTCTGATAATATGTTTAAGAGGTTTAACTATTTATCGATTTCTGCCTTGATACTTATGTATCAGTTTTCTTTATAGTACAACTATTTTTGTCCTGGACAACTACTGAATTATCAGCCAGCAGTCCTAGACTCTCAAAAGTATCTCTGGAGAACCTTAAAATCGAAACTCTATCTCGCTTCATCAGTTTGTAAGGATAATATGAAGGTGTAACTGATTTACAGCTAATGCAAATTGAAGAATCCTGGTGCAGGTCAGAATATTTGGGAACCAAGTCTCCAAAAGGTAGGTTTCAAACATCTTCCCCCATCTTCCTTGGTAAAGAAAATTATATTCATAGACCATGTATTAATACAGTACACATATATCATTTATTAATTATTATCATTACACACTGTTGATTTATTCTGTGAAGTAAGTAGACTATTGTGTTCAAACAACTTCTTCTATTTTTTAATTTCGGACAAAAGGTGAGGTTTACTCTTTTTTTTTAATTACTCTAAAACTACTTAGAGAATACTCCTTTTTCAATAAACCAAAATTTATTAAGAAGTACAAGATTATATACTGCAAAACAAATACAAATACAAAAACAAAAGTTACTTAGAGAATAGTGTTGGACCAAGAAATCCTACAAAAAGAACTAAAACACCTCCCTAACATAGATCAAAAGTACAAAACCACATGTAAGGTTGGATAGAATTGCTTATCACTTTCATTATAGTCAAATCCTTTAAAATTAAATTAGTTTTTTAACATCCCCTTTCTCTTATCCCCCCCCCTTCTCATTTTTTTATTGCATTATTGCAACATCCATATCACGTCTCATACCCTTTCTGCTAACCCCAGCCTTTATGTAAGTTGTCTGACTAGAAATGTTGTATGCACAGCTACGCACTAGTATCTTGCTATAGCTATATAAAATATTGACACTGACAACCTTTTTTCAGTAAGTAAAAAAAAATATGAAAAAAAATTATTCAAGTTATTTTTTTTTTTAAGAAAAAAGAAAAGCACTGAGGTATGTTTGCGATTTAGGGATCAAATGATACTTCCACGTGGAAGAAGTCTTCAGGCAAATGTGATTATTATGATATCAGAGTTGTACAAATTGATTTGGTAAGTATCATTTTTGAACCTTTACCAATTTGACTGTTGCAGTCTTACTCATCAACTGTTAAATAAAACCATGTAAAGGTTCTGGCTGTTGTGTTTTCCAGTTATTCTCCAATCTAATTTTCTTCTGCTGTGACATTAAGTTGATCTTGTGATTTTTGTCTAATAACAGAATCAGTTAGAGCCAAGTCCATCTCTAATCCAAGTAGTTTATAATTAATTTTTGTTAATGTTATGCACTTTGGTCTAATTATATATTTAAGGTTACCAGTTTCTATAATGTCTCTGTTTTTTTTTTTTTTATGTTTGTTCGCAGGATCTATCTATGCAATATCTGCTTACATTCTTCATCAATGTCTATATTGATTTATTTGAAAATGACTGATTTAAATATGAAGATACGATGCAAATTATCTCTTTTTAAGAAAAAGAAATAATGGTGTTATGACAAAACTCTAATATATTATTTTAAAATATACTTCAAGTTATGAAATTGTACTTTAAATTAAAAATAAAATATTTTACATAATTTCTCATTATATGAATATATATGCACATTATATGCACACGTTATTTAAACATAACATATTAATATATATATATATATATATATATATATATATATATGGGATAAAATTTTCTTATACTAGAATAAGTTTAAAAAATTTTATACTCAAGTTAAGCCTTTCATTTATTTATATATATATATATATATATATATATATATGGGATAAAATTTTCTTATACTAGAATAAGTTTAAAAAATTTTATACTCAAGTTGAGCCTTTCATTTAACTTAAATTTAATGAAAGTCGTTAAATTTAAGTTAAATGAAAGGCTTAAATTTAAATTAAATGAAGACTTACACTATATATTCTTTATATATGTATATAATGTACAATTATGTCACATTGTAACTAAAGAATAATTATTTAAAACTTAGAAATACCTAGATAATTTCATTAAGTTAAAAATAAGACCTAGATAGTCTTCATATTTTTTTAATAAATTTAATTAATAATAAAAATAAATTTAAAAAATATATTGCTAATATTTTGTTATCTTCTGGTTTAACATTTTTTAAAGACCTACAGCCCATTGTAAAAATAATATCATAATTTGTACTTTTCTTATTCAAGTTATTAGGGTTTCGTATCGTTAGGGCACAATATGGCGAAGCAGGTTTCGTATCATTAGGGCACAATATGGCGGGCAAGAGTTTCATATCATTCGGGCAACAAACTGATGCACGGGCAGGCAATAAACTCATGAGCGTCGTGTCGTGTTCTGTATCATTAGGAAACTCATGGCGTCAGGTGTTCTGTATCATTAGGAAACTCATGGCGTCAGGAAACTCATGTTATCGTGTTTTGTATCTTATATCATTAGGGGCGCGCCGTGTTTTGTATCATTAGGGCAATAAACTGATGGATGAGCGTCACAACAACAGTTAAATGTATTTTTAATCACACCAACAGTTAATATATTTTTTATTTTTTTATCATTATTTGATTATAAAACATCGGAGAAGCATATATATAGAAAAAAGTTATCAAAGCCAGAAGAATTGTCTGCAACAAACAAACCCTAGCTAGCTAGGTAACATCTATACAAGCCCTCTCCCTCTCCCTTATTTACTCATACTAGCCATATATATTATAATATATATAGCTTGATCTTTCGATCTTCTTATACTAAGGAGGATGCATGCTTGCTTCAAGAGTCGCTGAATCAGCTGATTCAGCGCCTCCTAGTTGCAGGCTCCTTCTGGGAGTTGAAGTAAACAGTAGCAACAGGGAGCCCCAAGTCCAATTGCCTGGCAAAGTAGCGGGTGTTGAAGCTGGCTCTAACTGGTGGCTGCTCCACCACTCCCAAAGGACCCTTCTGTTCAAAGAGTACCAAAATGTAGCGGTGAATCCCCACTGGTGGCCTTGGCCCCGCATAAGGAAGAATCTCTTTTCCTGCAAAGACAAGGTAATTATCCTAAATTAGTTATATATTTCCCTTTAATTTCTTTTGGACTAAATTAATTGTTTAATTTTGTCAAGTGTGGGAAGATGAACTAAAGCTAAGTTTGTATTTTTTTAGGACTGAAGAAAGTTGGGGTTTCAGAATTGTTCTCTTTGGAGCAAGTGAAGTTCTGAAAGATGATGAGCAGCCAACCATCTTGATGACTTGCAACCTTGGGACACGTGTGATGATCTCATGACAGGAAATCCTCTAGTTAACACCTGTTATCTAAATTAATGCATGCATGAATGAATTGGTAAAGTAAAAAGAAATTGCAATTAATCATTAAAGAATTCCTTTAATTAAGGATAAATAATCAAAATTAATTTAATAATAATTTGGGAATTTAGAGAATATTTGTTGTGACACATGGCAATAGCAACCACAGGCAGGACACGTGGAGGAAGGAGGACACTGGATCCAGACTTCAATATATTACAGCTGTGAGAAAGTCATTTGAGAGATTGAAACAGACCAGGATTCACACCCCAGGACATTACGTACCCCCAAAATTCTGTGATTTAAATTCTTTGACCATTTTTAGATAAAATCTGAAACATGCAAGAAGCTTATATACATGCATGTTGGTTTTTGCAAGCCCCACGAGCGAAGTTAAGCAAAAGTATTTCTAAAATCTAGCCGATCTCAAATCAGAAAAAAGATGGAAGTTTACTTTTCAAGTCACAATAAAAAATATTTGCAACTCACTCATGAAAATGAAAAAGAAAACTAAAATGTCAATTAAATCCAACCCATGTAACATGCATGCAAAATTATGAAACTCAATAGGGAGAGGGAACTTTATATAATTGAAGAAAATAAAAGTGTTACATAGGAAGCAGATCAAAATATTTTTTTTACTACCGCGAGTTGGGTTTGTTCCCCCAGGTATGTCAACCACGATCCTGTAAATCAAGTAGATTAAACAAGGAAAAAAATCATCAATTAAAAAAATTGATAAATTATATAAAAAAAGGTTAAATTATATATAAAAAAAGATAAATCTGAATAGAAAAAGTTCACAGACCAATGTATCCACTCGCGCATGCTTGGTTCACTGGGGCTTGGTGCATCTGGATCGGTCATAACCTGCATGCACAGAGTTAACAAACCCATTTGCATTAATTTGAAAATAACAACGCTGAAGAAGAGAAAAATCATAAAAAGAGAAAAAGAAAAAGGAAATTCTGGATGCATGTGAGATCTCTTACCAGGGTGTAAAGGTTATCCATGTTGCCAGTGAGAGTGACCTTGGGTGGACTAACAGCCATGGAGGGCTTGATGTCACAGCCATTGGTAACATGCTTGGAGCCAAAGTACACAGACATGTTAACAGAAGGAATGAACATGTCAACCACATCACCAATCACACGACCAACAACAAGAGGGTCAACAGAGGCAGCCATGATCACAAACACAATGCTCAAGATATGAGTGAGGGACAAAGAAGGCATAAGCAAAGAGTGTAGCAGAAGCTAGCTAGACTAGAGTTGGTGGTTGTTGATTTCATCAAAATAGGGTTTTTATAGAAGCGTTTAAGGGGAACTGAAGGTAAAAAAAATTAAATTAGGGGCCTCTGTTTTGTAATTTTGTGAGTATAATAAAACCATGGTTCATGCATGGACCATCACAAAATCAGGTACATGCAATGGATGACACGTTTGTGGAGACCCACTCAGGGTAAAACATCCATCCTTTGTTTCTTTGTGACAAGTGGCATCATCAACGCCGTTCATTGACACTACCGGCTTCAGAAAAAATCAGTAAAAGGATCCAAACCATTCATGCCCATCAAGATAAGCACAGAGTGTAACGCCGTAGTTCAAATCCACTTGGTGGGGACCACAAGGTGAATCAGTGGCTGAAAATTAAGATGCATATTTCAACGGTGGATTGTGGAGTAGCATAACACAGCCTGGTTTTGTAACTTCCCCTGGTTCTCGTTTTTTCATTTGTCTATAGTAAAGTGGGGTTTTTGGATGTTTAATGGTTCATTTAAGAGCAGCGTCATGGATGACCTGGAAGATTCTTCAATGAGAGTTAACTCATTAAAATTAAAGTGAAAAATGGTTAATGAGGTCTCACTGTAAAAACTTAAAAGTGTCTCCATGCATGTAAGCCATGAGGCAGTGATTATCCTCAGCTCTCTCATTAAAAATAATATTATGTTGAGATGATCATTATTCTCATGCATTCAATATATTTCTTAATGTTATATCTGAAGAGTAATTCATTTAATGTCATCCAAAAGAGATTTTTCATTCTTAAAATAATTTAAAATTTATATAATATATAATAAAAAAAATTTCTCTCACTAATATAAATTTAAATTTTTTTAACTTAAATCTTTTATTTAATTTATATTTAACTGTAAGATGTAGGTTAAATGAAAGACTCAAATTAAATGTAAGATTAATTAGACTTACACCGATGGGAGAAGATCTTGTTTTTTATATAATAATTATATTATAATATTATTTTTTTAAATAATATTTTTCATATGTGTTTAAAGATATATAATACAAAATAATAATTTTTGAATATTTTAATATTTAATGTTATTAATTAAAATCTATATTTTTAATAAAAAATTATATATAATGTGTTATACGCATACAAAAATATTAAAGTTTCAAATACTTATTTTTTATATGAAAAAGTAAAATATAAAGATATAAAAAACTGACCGTAGAAATAAATTGGTCAAAATGAAAACTAAGTCAATATTTAAGAAAGTATTTAATAATCTAGTAACAGCAATAAAATTAATTTAATCCTTTCTATGACATTTAATTTGCTGTAGTAAATTTATTTTAACATTATTTATTAAGTATTAGGATTTATTAAATTGCATATAAGTTTCATTAAACAGGAAGTAAAATTTACCTAGTTTTATAATTTTATTAAATTGTTTAAATTTTAAAAGCAATTATAAGGTTTTTTTCTTTTTCTATTTTCTCTACTCCTCTGTCCTAACTGGACTCAGTAATTAAATATTAGAAAAAGGAAAAAAAAAAAAAAAAAAAAAAAAAGAGTTTCATCAACAATAACGAAGTTCAACTGCGAGAAGAAGGGTAGAAAGAGCCCAGTAATAATAGCAAATTCTGACTAAGGGAGAAGAGGATATAGAAGACTTTACCGTTGTCCTAAAAAATTAGATGATAAATTAACAAAAAGACAATTTTGTTTAATTATGAAACTAGGAAAACTAAAATTGTGTAATTAAAATTAAGAGATTAAATTCGAACAAATATTATATTAAAAAACAAAAATATATATTAAGCATATTATATCTTGAATGTTAGTAATATATTTTTTTAACACACTTTTTACTGTTTAACTAAAAATTATTAAAAAAATTTAAAATATATAAAAAATTAATTACAAGTGAAAAAAAGTAAGAGATAAATATTAATTTAGAATGAAAAATAATAAAATTTATCGTATCATCAATACTTTTTAACCGACAGTTAGATGTCTGTCGAAATAAATATTTTGAAGAGTGTATTATTATTCATTATATTTTTACATTGAGGAACAATTCATTTAATGATATATATTAAAAATATATTTTTCATGTTTAATTTTACATTATTTTAATTAAAAAGGAGATATTTTTTAATTTGTTTATAAAAATAAGTAAAAAATTATAAAGGCTTAATTGATTTTTTTTTTAATTTGATTGAGTTCTTTTGACTTTTAAATTGTTCATATTTAATCCTTTATTAATATTTTTTCTATTTAAAATACTTAAATAAATTTTTTACTCAAAATATTTAAAAATTGAATTGATAAAATTATTGTTTATTCAAAATTAACCAAACAAAATATCATGTTTTATTTATTATTTTGTTAGTTTCTTAATTTAATTCTAATCTCACATCATGTAAAACTTTTAAAATTTATCAATTGTTCTTTTTATATTTTAAAATTTATATGGTTATTTTATTTTTAATTTTAATATTTAAAAATATTGAATAAAAATAAAAAAAATCAAGAGTTTTGAATAAAAAATCAATAGAAAACTAAATTTTTATAGTTTAAGACTTTGTTTGAATTTCATATTAAGAAAAGAGAAGTTAATGATAACTACTATTTATTTTAAAATTAATTAAATATGAGGGAAAAAGTTACGAGGTTTTTCTAAATTTTTAAAACATTCATAGCCTTATTTATTTTTAGTTTCCTCCTTTTGGAAGTTTTAATAATTCATACAATAAGGTTTATTAGTTATATTTCTATTTGATAGATTAAATATTTAGAATAATTTACAGTTGGAATAATAAGAAAATAATATATATATATATATATATATAATTATAGTTTTTATAATGAAATTTTTTTTAAAGTTATAAAAATTAGAAATATTAATTTTTAAAGAGAAAAAAAATTAATTTCTTTATTTTTTAAAAAAATAAAAAAATATATGAATAAAAATATAAAATGATAATAATGTTATTTACATGTTAAATTTTCCTTTGCCCTTCTCTCTCACTAGTAAGGAAGGAGTTTACCTTTCAATTCCTAAACCATTCAAATTCTTTTTTTTTTTTTTTTAAAAATTATAATTTTTTATTTAACTAGTTAAAAAAATTTGAAGAACTAAAATCGATAGAACCCAATCTAATCAAACAAGAGTATAATTAAAGTAAATTAAAACATCAAATGTAAAAATGATATTTTAAAATAGAGATAAACTTCAACCATTAAAAATGCATTTAATATAAAAATTATGTTAAAAACACTAATAATGTAAATGTAAATATTTATTAAACTGTTGTTTTATTATTGATTGTCATATTAACAAGAAAAATAATTTTTATAATTATTAATTTTAAAATTATAGTGGTAATGTATTCTGATTGATCGATAGTACAAATATTTTTATATTTATAATATGTTAAAATTAAACTCTTTAGTATATTTTATTTTAATTTAAGAATAATTTATGCTCTTAAAATAAATTTTTGAAGTAAATTTTATAATTACATGTATGAATAAATTTTCATCTAATAAAATCTTGTTTTGGAAAAATTTTAATTAAACATTTACTTGATATCTCATAAAACTAAAATGTCATGCCTTATGGAAGTAGTGGTATTTTTTTTTTAAGTTATTACACACGAAATTTAAACATAATTTTGTTATAGTAAATTTGTATAATTTTTTTTTGAAAGAATGAAAACTGACTACTGATTGAATAGATTTATATTCAATTGCTTAAAAAATTTAAACACTTCATTATACGGTAAATAAGTGAATTTTAAAGATAGACTTTTTTTTCATCAATTATAACTGGAGATCATTAGTTAAAAGCTTAATTATATTTTTTATTTTTATAAATATGAAACATTTTGCAATAAATCTTTATAAAAAAATTTATTAAAATTTAGTCTTTAGAAAGTTAAAAAATTAGGATTTAGTTTCTGCTGTCAACTTTTTTCTGTTAAGTGATGAGTTGGTCGACAAAATGTCAGCTCACGCCTACATTGTGACACATAGCATGCCACATTATTTAATTTTTTATTATTTAAAATTATATAATTACAAATAATTAAGTTTCTAAACATATTTTACATAATTACAAAAAAACTCTTTTAACTTTTTTTCTTTATTCTCCGTAGCCCCTCCCCATAACCCTTTCCTCCACCCTCACTCCTTCCCCCTCCCCACTCTCACCCATATTCAGACCACTTATTTTAAAACTTTATAATGTTTTAAATTAATTTTTTATCACTTAACATAAAACCTTCATACAACTCCTCAATATCTAAAACAAACAAAATTTTAATAAAAAAAAAGTGAGGAACAAGTTGAGAATGAAGATGATTGAGGAAAGGGAAAAAATTAGGAGTGAGATATGGGAAAGAATAAGAGTAAAATAATAGGAAAGGAGTTAAGGTGGAGGGAAGAGGAAGGGGTGAGGGTGTGGGTGTGGAGAGAGAGAGGGGAAATGGTGCAGATGGGGTAAGAGTGTGGGTGTTATAGGAAGAGGACTGTGTGAAAAAGGAAAGAAATGGTGCAAATGTGAGTGGAGGTATGGGTGTTAGAGAAAAATAGATAGTGCATATATGGGTGAGAGTGTGGTATTGGAGGAAGAAAGGGGGAATGAACTGGGTGGGGGAGAGGGGTGGTGCAGATAGGAGATTGGGAAGGAGATGGTGCAGACTAGAGACTAGAAGTGTATAGGAGAGAGAGGTGGAGCAGGTGGGGGTGTGAGGAAGATGAAGAGATGGAGGTAGGAAAAAAAGAAAGGGAGAAGAAGGGGAGTAGTGGTGTGAAGAGGGAGAAGGTGAGAGAGTGGAGGTGGAGGGAAGGGGAGGGGCAGGGGTAGGAATGAAGTATAGGTAAAAAAGTGTGAAAAAAAAAAGAGAGAGAAATTTTTTTTATACAATTATATAAAATAGATTCATAAACTTATTTATAAATCTTAATTTTAAATAAAATAAATAAA